GCGAAGTAGAGCGAGAGGGGGATGTAGAAGGATGGTTAGGGTTAGGCGGTTTAAAGGATAGTTTGGAGCGGGTTGGGGGGCGTGAGCGGTGAGAGGCGGCGGCTGGTTCAGAGACAGACTGGTAAAAACTGGGTATAATGTTTTTGAATGCCGTGACCGTACTTCCATAGAGTTTATTTTTAAAGTTTTTGGACGCCCATTCTAAAGCAGTGGCCGAAAATGAGTTAACGCTTGATTTGGAGAAATTGTGGGCTGTGATTATGCCGAACGTTTCCGAAATTTTAGTACGGTAGTGTTGAACTAAGATTTGGGCTGTGGATCAAGCCCAATTCTTATGAATTTTGAACAGTTGGTCAAAAACGACCTGGTTGGGTTGAGCAGGTTTAACAAACTTTCTTAAATTGAAAATCTGTCTCTGAAACCCCTTGGAAGGGGTGCCTCCATCGACTTGCACCTCTAAGACTGATATGTGATGAAGAGCCTGAATGATGTGATAAAACAGCTGAATTTTGAACCTGGCGTTTGAATTTTTGGGTTTTTGTTTTTTCTTTTTGATAAACGTCATGATATTTCTTAGAGGTGCAGGCTAATAAAAAGGGGGGTTGGAGAAGAAGATGAAAAAAAATTGATTAGCACTAAAATGTTAAAAAATGGACAAAAAGGCTATAATCTCAAATGATATGTAGTTATTTTGAGGCTAGAAAAAAATGGGTATTGTAGCACTGGAAAAAGCACTAATGAACAAAAATGAAAGTCTTTTACGAAAAAAAGCACTAATTAAAATTTAAGTTTTTTGGAAACAAACGAAAATTTGGTTTTCAAAAATGAGTAGGGTATGGAAAACAAACTGGAAAGAAAATATCAATTAGTAAGCATATATATTAAAAACAAATAGTTCAATGCAAAAAAGAAAATAATAACAAAATAGTGCAATAAAAAACCTGAAAAAAGAAGGTATTGATTAGAACAATATACAAATACACAAACCTGAAATAGTGAATAAAGGATATAAGTATTATGATGTGTCGTCTGTTGCCACTACTAGTTTCGACTTTTATTAAGTCTTCTTCAGGTGGCAGGTGTAGTCAAAAACCTAAGGTATCAACCCCCTTAAATAAGGCCCAAACCCCAGGTCTCTAAACTGTACCCATTACTGGATGGATCTGATTGTTTTGCCCTGTAAAAACTCACAACTATTGGTTTGTGCGTTCGACCGTAGATGCAGTCAAGTGGAAATATGGGATTTGATTGGTTCATGGGCAGCACGTGGGTCTGCGAGAGAACCCAAGCTACCTTATTTAATTGATCTGTTCAGTGAGCCGTTAATCCAAGCTGACTTGTGGTCATACCATTATCCTGAGCTCAGGTAGCTTGGGTCCACCTGTTACTCAGCCCGTGTGACCTTACCTGACCAGGTGTCTATCCAAGCTACCTGAGATCATTACCTGTAGATGGCTCAATGTGTGTGAATAGTTATTCACTGGTATTACCTGGATAGTCTAAGTCGATTGAAATTGAAAATGTTATTAATTTTAAAAATTAAAATTAGATTATTTGAATGAAAAAAAAAAAGGTTTTTTGGCGGTAAAGTATTGAAAATTAAAGTTTTAATTTTTAAACTTTAGGAATCAAAATTTATGTTGTTTTTACTACTTAATACACAAAAACCAGATTAAATTTATAATTAAAAATTAAAAAGGTTTTTTTAGAAAGAATGATAATTTAGAGGCCCAGGGTTAGGGTTAGTTTTAGGATGGGAGGGTTGAGGGTAAGGTTTATAGACATCGTGCACACAACCAACTACTGTGTATGATCGTCAGTATGTTTGCAGTCCCTTGTCTATAAGGGTTGGGGATCAGAGACACCATGCACGTAACCAACTACTGTGTATGATCGTCAGTAAACTTGCAATCATATGTCTCAAAGGGTGGTTAGGGTTAGGGTTAGCTTATGTTGCATCGGTTAGCATATGTTGCAAACTAAAAAATATTGAATATGCAACATAAATGAAACCCTAACCCCAGGATTACAGTTATGTTGCATAGGGTTAGGGTTATGTTGCATTGCATTACGTTAAGATGGAGATATGCAACATATGTTAACCCTAACCCTAACATTTTGCAACATATCAATTATGTTGCATAAGGTTAGGTTATGTTGCATTGTGTTACAGAATTGCAACATAATGTAAACCTGTCTAACCCTGGGGTTAGGGTTATATTATGTTGCAATAGAAAAGTACCAATGCAACATACTACTTATGTTAAGGTTATGTTGCAATACGTTAATATGGGCAGATGCAACATATCCTAACCCTAACCCCAGGGTTAGAATTATGTTGCATTGGGTAAAGGGTTATGTTGCACCGTGTTAGAGTGAGGTGATGCAACATAGCGTAACACTAACCCTAACCCTGCATTTTGTAAAAATGCAACTTAATGTCGCTTATGTTTTAAAAGAAAAATGGACTTTTGCAACATTAGCAATAGGATCAGATTTTGTTGCATTTTACTAAAATACGCATGCAACATATGCAAACCCTGTAGGTAGCACGCAAGTAAATATCAAAATATTAAAATTATTTTTTTCCCATATATACTTCATCAATTGAAAGGAAACTGATAAATGTTTTAAACCAATTGCAACTAAAGGCTTTTACCGAGAGAAATCCGTGATATCTCATCACAATAAATTAGGTGAATTTTTTTTCATTCAAGACACCTTTAAGCGAAGTTTAGTCAATCTAAAAAATTCTATAAAATCGGAAAAATATTTTAAAAGCATGTAAAAAATTCCTAGTTATTAGTTTAATTCCTAGTTATTAGTTTATCAAAGAAAAATAAGATATACCTGACAAACTGCCAAAATATTAGAGACAAAAGTTTTTTAATGAATGAAATATGTGAAATCTGTCAAAATTTCTTGAAAATAACTCGAAAAAAAACAACCACATAAGCGACCTGAGCAATGGACGTTCTATGTTGCAAACATCCCTTTATGTTGACATTATGTTGCAATTCGATAATCTTATGTTGCATTTGGGAAATTTGGCAAAACTTATGTCGCATAAAGGCCAACGAACTGTCAACATAGACGTCCCGGTTCTAACCCTAAACGCAGGTAACCGCAAAAGCATTAGATGTTACCCTAATTAGCATATGGTGTTGCCTGACTAGCATAATGTGTTAACGAATCAGCATTAAGTAACTATATTAGCACAAGTCTTACCCTAACCCAATTCCAAAATGTCCTAACCCTAACCCTAACCCTATCTCAAACAATGCTATTATGGTTACGATTATACACATTTCTTATATTTTATGGGGAAATTTTCTCTCAATTTACGGGGAATATAATGTCATATAACATCTCACATTTCTTATATTTTATGGGGAAATTTTCTCTCAATTTACAGGGAATAATACCTCTGATATATGGGGAATATAATGATTATAACCTCTCACATTTGTCATTTTTTATGGGGGGAAATTTTCTCTCTCAATTTACCGGGAATAATATCTCTGATTTATGGGGAATATAATGTCATAACCTCTCACATTTCTAATATCTTTTGGGAAAGAAGAAACAAAAGTGAGTGAGTGAGTGAGCTAAAAGCTCAAATGACCGAAAAACTATTGAATGTGGAGGGGACATCACACACAGTGACACCCTGCAGCCTTGTATGGACACAAATGGACAAGGAGGGGACATGCTTAATGGAAGGACTTCCAGATTTCTTCTTTTGAATGACATTGACGTCTTTTGAGGTCATATTAGGTCAAATGTGAGAACAACTTCTGATTGATACCAACCTAGTAACATTATGCAAGGATAATAGGTTGCCAGGTTTTGTCCAAATGAATGATCATGGCACATTATCAAGTTAACAAGTGTTCAAAAGTGTTAAAACATCAAAATATCTTCTGCTAAATTATGGTTATGATATTTGGCTCTTACCTTATAAGGAAGAGTGTTGTTTTATTGCACTCGGTCGGTCGCAGAGTCGTTTTCTTGACACTGGTAATACCAGGGTTATTTTTGTTGACGCTCATTTTATTTATTTTTGCTCTGCAGGGACCGATAGTAACATGGGTGACTCCTCAGAAGACGCTGTGTCTTTGATTTATTCGGGGGAGGAGGAAGAAGACCTCGACTACGTTGACCCCTGACGTACTTATAGGCACGCTGAGGCTGAGGTCGTGGTGAATAGCGACCCCATTATTAGATAGTCTCTTTCTCAGCCGCCGGCTTTGAACACACGTGGCACGAAGGCCAAGGTCACGGCCAAACCTGACAATAATAATGTGAAAAGTGTTAACAAAAAGCGTGCGAACACTTAACAAACGCAGTCCGTGAATAAAAAGGCACGTGGAGATGGGAAGTTAGACACAGTATTGAGTGCCATTAGTCAACTGACTAACGTTATCACGGATAATGAGAGAAAGCGTGACGAGCAACAAGAGTTGCCTATGGTTTCCGCTTCCGATTTCCTCGACGAGGAAGAGTGTGGTCAAACGGCTCAGACGCAGTCTGGGGCCAATTTATCGCTGTTTGACTCTGGGGACGAAGCTCCAGAAGCGCCAGAGAACGATGAGTTCGATTTTCAATTGGCAGACATTTACGATAAACACAAACTCGGGCCCGCGGTGTCCAAAAGGGTAGCGAGCAGTGTTACCAAGGCTGTGAGAGCGAGGACCGACGTGTCGGCACTTACAGATAAGTACAAAATCCCGAAAAACGCAAAGGCGTTTATACCACCCAGAACGAACGTGGATGTATGGAATTTTCTGGGTAGCCAGACGAGAACGAGAGATGTGGCCATGCAGGAGGTCCAAAGGTTAGTGGGCCATGGAATGGTCCCCATTGTACAGTTAGTCGAGAACATGAGAACAAGCAGTACGCTTGATTTGGGGGCCGTTAGACGCCTACTTTCAGACTCTCTCAGTGTACTGTGTAACATATTTTATGAGATATCCATTCGGCGGAGACAAATGATGAGGTCTAATCTGCCTCAGAAGCACCTGGCTGGGCTCTGTAATAACGATACTCCAATTACATCCAAATTATTTGGGGACAATGTGGCGAAGACCACTGTGCAGACGACGACGCTGACATAGCAATACCTATGTGTCACCAGCTTTTCGCAGGCGACACAAAAAGGCATTTTGAAAGCATCATATTTTTGTGAAATCCCTCTTTGTGATCAAGTCAGGAACCTGTTTTCACAGAAAGGGTTTTTTCAGTTGCTACAGCATCGTTTTAATAGGAAGATAACAAGGTGAACATCTACGATCCAAGATCTCATTCTAAAGATGCAGAGATTTAAAGTTGGCCAGAAATGGAATACCTAGGACCTCAAAGTTTGTGTTTGTGCTTGTGAATAAAGATGTAATCAAATTATTATTAGTCTTTTATTTTCATCATTGAGGAGATAAAATGCCTCGAGCTTCGGTCGTCAAGTATTGACAGAAATCGTCTGCTGTTTGGTGGTTCAATATATCATACCCCTTTCACCACCAACTCTTCAAGTTCATTGTTACAAATACAGTTTATATGCAATTCTGTTTAGTTGTTCAAATAACTTAATTTTGTTCTAAGGAAGGACAAACTTGACAATCATTACATTCATATTATTTCATTTCTCCACAGAACCAACTTGAATTTAAAATCCACCACTTAGAAAGCTTGTGAAATATCCAAAAGGTGTTGAGGAGGGGAGTGACAAAGAAGAAGGTTTTAGATATAAAGACTATGCCTCAGAAGTCATTTGTGACTGTAGTGGGGGAAATTGTCAAGGTAAGTTTTATTCAGTAATGAGACATAATGTAACAGTTCAATCTACAGCATTGATAGAAGGTCATTTGTTGCTCTGATTGATGTTTCACTTTCAATTATGATTATTTCTTACGTAACGTTTCTATTCATATTATTTTATGTGACATAAATTAAGCTTTTGTTATATGTACTAATGGCAACTATTATAGGCTCCTGAAGTCAAACTGACTGGCACAGTAGAGGGACTTTCAATTGATGACTTAAGCATCGATATTGCCCTCCAAACAACAGATGGAAGTTATCACGATCTGGTTATAGATAGGGATGTACCATTGGCAGCTTTGCCAAAACTTGATGATCAGGCAGAAAGTGATGAAGCCATGGAGGAAACATTGTGTGAAATGCTCCCATTTGTGGGGACAGTCACCACCAAAGGAGGAGACATTCTGTCTCTCAGTCATGAAACGGAGACTGTTACAAAAAGAACGGAGTAATACAAATTGGCCATCAACTTGAACCAAACAAGAACCTTTACAAAAATCTCTCGTCCTACTTATGTATGGTAGTGTTTCCGGAGTCCTGACTCTAGGAAAGTATACTTTTGTTACTAGAAAACATAATGAACATAACCTACTTGAAGCTATTGTATGCACACATTATAATTTTGATATGTTTGTTTACATGTAGTAGAAATGTTGGTACATGTACATGCTAATTGACTGGTTGCTTTTGCAATGTACATAAGATGTCTACAATGATACTTTGAATATGTGAAGATCTTTTTCAAAGAGATTGTGATAGATGGCAATATAACATTAGCATAGGCTAAGTATGCCAGCCACAGACAAAAAGTAAGCCCCCAACTGGTTCAACCACCAAAGGGAGGGAACTAGTGTTTTAAACATCACTCTGTCTTCACTGCAATTATTAAGACAACCTTGTGAATTCAACTTTTTTTAAAACAATGAGGCAAATAATGCAAGTTATTACTAATGAATAACTTGTGTTATTTAAAAAACAACCTTTATTTCAAACTACCTGTAGCTATGCCTAATTGCATATGTATTAGCAAGTCATTTACTGCACGAGTTGCCTCCCCTTGCACATGTAACAGGAAAGTTACAGAACCAATCAACCTTTTTGACCTGCACTGGAAATGACCCTTTTCAAATCGAATTTGTCACGGTGAAAGTTGAAAGCTGAAGAGAACAACGATTACTGTATTTTAAATTTATGATCATTGATCGCCATAGAGTTCTGCACTGCATTGGATCGTATTATGTATGTGCTTGTCACGTATTACGTGCATAAATGCAACTACAGCGTACACAGGGCGCAAACAAAATCTTGATTAGATATGTTCCCTCGTGTGTTCGTGGGTGGCTCGGAGCACATGTAAATGAACGAGTCACTGAACACAAGAATGTCTGATCTATTAACGTTATTTATTCATACACATCAATGACTAAGCATCATTATCAGTATCAAGGAATTTAATTTTAGAATTTTGGAATGCTCATAATTATTAGTGAACTCAACTTTTTTTAAAACAATGAGGCAAATAATGCAAGTTATTACTAATGAATAACTTGTGTTATTTAAAAAACAACCTTTATTTCAAACTACCTGTAGCTATGCCTAATTGCATATGTATTAGCAAGTCATTTACTGCACGAGTTGCCTCCCCTTGCACATGTAACAGGAAAGTTACAGAACCAATCAACCTTTTTGACCTGCACTGGAAATGACCCTTTTCAAATCGAATTTGTCACGGTGAAAGTTGAAAGCTGAAGAGAACAACGATTACTGTATTTTAAATTTATGATCATTGATCGCCATAGAGTTCTGCACTGCATTGGATCGTATTATGTATGTGCTTGTCACGTATTACGTGCATAAATGCAACTACAGCGTACACAGGGCGCAAACAAAATCTTGATTAGATATGTTCCCTCGTGTGTTCGTGGGTGGCTCGGAGCACATGTAAATGAACGAGTCACTGAACACAAGAATGTCTGATCTATTAACGTTATTTATTCATACACATCAATGACTAAGCATCATTATCAGTATCAAGGAATTTAATTTTAGAATTTTGGAATGCTCATAATTATTAGTGAACTCAACTTTTTTTAAAACAATGAGGCAAATAATGCAAGTTATTACTAATGAATAACTTGTGTTATTTAAAAAACAACCTTTATTTCAAACTACCTGTAGCTATGCCTAATTGCATATGTATTAGCAAGTCATTTACTGCACGAGTTGCCTCCCCTTGCACATGTAACAGGAAAGTTACAGAACCAATCAACCTTTTTGACCTGCACTGGAAATGACCCTTTTCAAATCGAATTTGTCACGGTGAAAGTTGAAAGCTGAAGAGAACAACGATTACTGTATTTTAAATTTATGATCATTGATCGCCATAGAGTTCTGCACTGCATTGGATCGTATTATGTATGTGCTTGTCACGTATTACGTGCATAAATGCAACTACAGCGTACACAGGGCGCAAACAAAATCTTGATTAGATATGTTCCCTCGTGTGTTCGTGGGTGGCTCGGAGCACATGTAAATGAACGAGTCACTGAACACAAGAATGTCTGATCTATTAACGTTATTTATTCATACACATCAATGACTAAGCATCATTATCAGTATCAAGGAATTTAATTTTAGAATTTTGGAATGCTCATAATTATTAGTGAACAAGCTTGGGCTCGCCGGCAACCCTGGGGGTTATTTATTTGACACGTATTTCAGAATATATGCTTGTATAATATATTCCAAATTGTGATATATAAGGGCCAGGGGGGACAACCCTTGTTCAAATTTCAATGTGTACTGCTGAGTCACTAATGTTGCATAAGCTCATCATTTGTGCTAAAGTTTTGTATTTATCTGTTGAAAAGCTGACTATGTCCCCAAGCAAGCGAAGGAAATTAAACAGCTCTCATGCCAGGGCCAACAGGAGGGGAGTAGCTGGGCCATACCAGGCACAGCATGAGGAGGAGTCTGAGCAGGGCGCCGTGGAGGAGCCCGACATGCAGGTGACAGTCCCCATGGATGCAGTGAGCCATCCCACGGGATCGGGACAAGTCCCATCAGTCTCGGGAGGAGGACCTATGTCTGCAAATTTGGGCTCAGGTACTGACATGTCTAATATGCCTTCCCCACTTCTGAGTGTGGGGGACACGGTAGATGGTGTCTTTGTCATCAAACAAAGGGGGGCAAAATACAAATTGGATACCATTGAGGCATGGACAGAGGCCTTCATAGTTCACGTTGCTATTTACACACAGAAACAAGATAGAGGGCAAGAACTATTGAAATATATGTCGATGGTTAGAATGGCCTTTAAATCTTTTGGTGGGTTAGGCTGGAGGAGACATGACGAGCAATTCCGTCTCCGTCAAGCCAGTCAGCCTGATCGGTCATGGGCGGTAGTTGACGGGGAATTATGGCTTCTATGTTTAACAACAAATGTATTGAGGTCCTCAGATGCTTATGCATCACAAAACAAAAATACCGGAGTGTGTGGTGTTTGGGAGGGGGGGTCATTCAAAATAAACTGCTTCCGTAAAACCAAGGTTTCAAGGGGCAGGCTAATATAAGTGGCCAAAGAAAGCCTTCACCAAACAAAAAGCCTCCACCCCTCTACAATGCGACACGTGACTGGTGTTTGAGTGCATACACAGCTGTAGAGCACCTGTCCTTGGATTAAGGCATGGTTCCATGGATAGGTCGTCTTTCATTCAGGCAGTACCTACCTAACAAACCTGATCTTTTTGGAGTGAAACCTTATGTCTTATGTGAAGGTACATCAGGATATATCTCGACTTATGAAGTCTATACTGGGAAGGATTATGATCCCAATCCTGATGCAGAGGAGGATGAAGTTCAACTTGGGCAAAGCTACAACATAGTGATGGGTCTAATGAGAAAGTGTGATTTTCTCCAGAAGGGATATACCGTGTACACTGATAACTATTATTCTAGTCCACATTATTTCAAGAACTTTATGACAATGTCACACATGCTGTTGGGACAATGCAGCTGAATAGAAAGGACATGCCGGTTGCCGTGAAAAGTGCAAAACTAAAAAAAGGTTATTAGTCGCCAGAAAGGAAACCTGGTTGCATTGAAATGGAGAGATAAACGAGATGTTAGCATGTTGTCAACTAAACACCCTGCAACATTCTCTGTAACTACAAGAGTAGATCATGCTATAGGTGATCATGTTGTGATCCTGTCGTGCATTGTGGACTGCAATAAGTATATGGGCGGTGTAGACAGAGCAGACCAGTTAGGAAAGAACTATTCTATCGCAAGAAAGTCCATAAAATGGTGGAAAAAGTTGGCCATGCATATAATCAACATGGGTATTACCAATGCCTTCATTA